ATTTACACTGACTTTTGATTTAGCGATTTCACCAGTCCTGTTTACTCTGTAGTAAGTTTTCGTTTGGTTAATTAACATAAACGACATCTGGTTCTGTGCATTTTTTTCTTTTTCTTTTTTCCGGTCATTTTATCCTTTCCGGTATTAAGTGCATGTATTTACTGGCCGGGATCCGGGACGCCCGGGATCCGGGATCGTATAAGATAATAGAGGAAAAAACTAATAAACTATATTTGTGTTGATCAAACCAGACTTGCTGACAGATCTATTTCTGTTATGGGACCTAAATGGTGGAACGCCCTACCAAAAGAATTAAAGTGCATTGCATCGGAAATTGCATTCAGAAAAAGACTGAAAGCACACCTCTTTGAACAATTTTATGGATAAAAAGTTTCGTCAAATGTGTATATAGTTTTAAACTGTGGAAATGACTTTGACATTATAGGATCTTGTGAAGCGCAACAGAATATAACTGTATAAAGTGTCGCGCTATAAAAATACCTATGATTGATTGATTGATTGATTGATTGATTGATTATTGTCGTAATGAAAGGCCATTGAACGTTAAGTTTTTTTTATTGTATGTAATGAAAGTTAAATTGATTTAACTTAAGATACAGATATATTTAGAGCTATTTATTAACAAAATCACAATACTTATAATTACATGCCTAATTAATTGGAAAAATCAAAGACTATATTCTTGAATTGGTCAAATCCCGGGATCCCCATATGTTTTAATACGATCCCAGCTTTTCTGAAAACAATATTTTTGAACTGTCCAATTCCTGGGATCTCTTTATTTTGTAATATGATCCCGGCTTTTCTAAAAACTATATTCTTGAACTGGTCAATTTCCGGGATCCTATTTTTTAATAGGAGCCCGGCTTTTCTGGCTGAATTGATTGACAACTTGTGTTTACTTTAGGACTTGTATCTGCAATTTATTCCAATACTAAATAACATACTACAACTTAACTTCGTATAAAGAGACATTTTTATGAATTCTACTTATCTATTTTTTTTCTGGTCAAGGTCAACAGGCCATATGGTAAATGTGCATAGACATAGGGACTTCACTCTATCTGTTTACATGCATCTTCATATATACTCATATTCCTCTTTGTTAAAGTGAGAGAGCTGGCTTCCTTAACTTTATATGTAACTTTTATTTTGATGTTCGCTGAAGTCTTTTCAGCTAACAGAACTGTCATTTTTACATAAAAACACGCCCCTGGAAAGAAATTACGAAGCGAGTCGCTACTAGCTTTTTTAAAAGCTAACCTTGTCATTGTTTTATCAACAATGTATGCCTTTTCATTATTTAAAACCGCACCCTTTCTATTTTCGTATTTGTGAGATCACGAAAAATAACAAAACGCAATCGCTAAAAAATGTATAAAAATAAAGATGTCATCCTTGCGCACACAATTTTCAAGTTTTAAATACAGCAAAAGAAAAACGCAACATTATATCCAGCATATTTAAGCAGGTATGGCGAAAAACAATCCTATGAAGTTTCACTGGAATCCCCAAGCGGTTTTTGGTGGCGAAGCACGGACAAACTTACTTTACTCTAAAATTGACAATTCGGGACCATAACAGTACAATAAAAAATCAATTGCAAAATCTAGAGAGTATGCACAATTAGGCTTTGTGACAAACAATCCTTTGAACTTTTAAATTCTTTCATACAAACAATTTTCAGCAACAATAAATCATATTGAATGAAATGATGACTTTTATTCTTGTTAATTCATTGGTAATGACCTTGACATGATCCTTTATTGTTAAACCAAAGCTATCACTATCCCAAAGTTTTTATTTGTAAACATTCTTTAATATTTTTTTAAAATTAGGATGACTGATACAATGATTTTCCGTTTGCTTATTTTTTTCACGGCCTTTTAAGTTTATATTGTTTATCTTGTATAACGTTACAGATTAGTATAACAAACAACACAACCTGTGTACTTATATTTTCATTTGCTTTGTTTATCAACCTAAAAGTAATTGGCAATATGTCGTCAGTTCTATTAACAATGTCTGATGTCAAAAATTCCTTCTTTACTAATATACGCATTTCTTATGTCCTGTCTGCACGAGAATTTTCAATTAATAGTAAAGTTAATGACACGGAAGTTTGTGTCTACACGAAACCTTTTTATGCCAATTGAAACGGAAAACGCTGTTCTCTACAATTATGTCTCTTGAGCGTTTGTACGTTAATGTCATCTGGGTAGCTTGTCCTGACCCCGTTGTTCTACCGATATGTACTATCAAATATCAATTACCATAATTGCCAATTTCGATCATTTTGTAACATTGACTTATTTCCCTTATTGTTTAAGTGATCCATTTATCATGCTGTGTACATAAAGACATCTATGCAGAAACTATAAAAAAGGTGAAGAAAAAAAAAAGAGAAAACAAGAGCGATCAGTGATCACATGTGTCGCCTAAGGATGGCAAATTTCATGTTGAGACAAGTTTTGTGACAGACGGACAGACAGTGCACAACTAGACTTGGTACTGATCATTCCTGTAAAGTTTGGATAAAATTGCACAAGTAGTTTATGAGGAGTTGTCCGGACAAGCTTTTGTGTTCCTGGCAACACAGAAAAAAACACCTTATTATCAAACTCGTCTATAACTCGGCCAAAAATCATTCAACCGGAAAAACCGTGCAATATGCGTAAAGACTCGAGCTACAGATTAATCCTGTAAAGTTTCATTGAAATTGCATTAATGGTACAAGAGAAGTACTTGTAAGATACTGTAAAATGACGATCTAAGTGCTTGTATCTGTAAGTTTAGAAAAGAAACAAAATACAATACTATATATTTGCCAATTTACTTTTTGGAAATATTTTCAGAAAATGTTTGGCTATTATTACTTTTTATTGACTACAATAAATGAGGCATCAATCTTGCAAGGATCTATATTTCAAGATATTCTTTTTAGATTAAAGAGTACACTCGATCGTGAAATACCAACAATGTGTGCAATATCGTGAAGTGAATATCTAGCACCTCTTCTAACAATATCTTTAACTTATAATAAATTTCGGCACAAGATGCACACTGTCGACTTCCTAATGTTGGTGCATTTTCAATTTCTCAGACTTGTGTTTCATCTGCAAACTGTGTTAGCTGTGTCACATTCAAGGTTGTGTAAATATCAGAAAGGTCTGCAAATATCAAATATTGACAAAGCTTTGTACAAAAAATTATGTAGGTCCGCATTTCTTCTTTTAAGTCAACACTTTTACCAACCATTGTTACTACAGTACTCAACGATTGTGTACATTAGAACAACAAAATGCCTATTGTTCACTATCAGGGCACTCGTTTTTCCATTTTTGGGGCCGAATATCGGCCCCATTCCCCTCTCAAGATCATATGTTTTTTTCCCCTATTTCAGAAAAAAATTCCCCTCAAAAAAAACAAAACAAAAAACGAAAATGTTAGTAATTACTTTGGTTACAAACAATTTTGAGTACGAAGCCATATTATATTTCTTCACTAGTTACCTCCCCTTATTTTCTCATGTCCAATGAAATTAATCGTAACTGATCAGGTAGGAATACATTTGGAATTTTCGGCTTTTACCTTTGCGATAGTTATACGTTTGGAGTTTTCGGATATTACCGTGGCGAAGTAAAATGTCGCACAATCAAAACCACTACTAAATAAAGTTTCGTTTTAAAAGGAAAGGCTTGCACAGTTGTGCCTTCATAAAGTGTTTGTTTAGTTTTTTTGTTTTTTTTGTAAAAACGAATATTTTTTGTCAAAACAATTTGAAATCTATTCTCTATTGTATAAAACTTGTAAAGAAAATAAAAATACTAACTATTCTATCATACTGAAAAGGAAACAAGTGTGAACATTTCATTTCCAGAGAAATCATTCGTTTTGGCAGTTGCTAATTTCATTTATATAGCATCTTTATGGACAAGTAAATGCACTAAAATACTTCGTTACGTGGTACCAATTAATAAGCATGTATCAACTATGTTACACAACCACAGATACGGTAAGGTTATTGATATGCATGGGCTATTTTTAGATTGTATCATAGTTTGGGGACCTTTCTGTTGAAAAAGTCTCAGAGTTAAATCGTATACATATACATGCACAGTGCGGTAACTGGAGTGCGGGTATCAGTTACCCGCACTCCAGATAATGCCCGTTGATTGGTTCCTTTTTGCTGGGGTTTACTTATTGTGACGTCAGAGAAAGGGAAATGGGCAGAAATATCATTATTCAAATGCTCGTTAATTGGTTCATTTTTTCTGGGGTTTCATATTATGACAACAGGGAACGTGCTGTCATGTTTGACTATGATACAAAAGAGAAAGAACACCAAAACACTCGGCAATCTGATTTATACTCCGGGGCTACGCCCCCTCGTACAAATCAGATAGCCTCGTGTTTCGGTGCTCTTTCTATTACTTACCTCACTGCGTTCATTAGATCTAAATATAACTCGATCATGCACTAATATTCTCTGTGATTTGGTAAGCAAGACCACCCTTTGGAGACGTAACCATCCTCTATTGTATAAGGTATTTATGTTAATTAATATACAAAACTAATACAGACAAAAACAATTATAAAAGAAACTAACTTTTGCGTCTTGAAAAAGAATTGAAACGTAACAATTTCGTTTATAATTTATTACGGTTTAAACCGATAAATCAAGTAAAAATAGAAATCCTATTTATATAAACAAACTGGGATTACCGAAGTAACTAAAATAGCTTAGATTTCCGTAATATTACTTCGTCTGATTCCGCAGTATGACGGAATCGCCCGAATTGTCACGATTGCAATCGGAACTACATCGGCTATAATCATTAAACCGAAGAGTGACGGAAAGGGCCAAAAAGTTGCGATTGGCACGATTGCAGTTGGTTTCTCGTTCAATCATGCACTAACAAATGTAAGCAGGAAACCACCTAACCGGAACAAGTTTTCCAAAACAAATGGGCTTGCAGCCGTGGCTGCAAGCCAAAAAGAATAACGTCAAAAACATCAGAAAAGTGTAAGAAAATTGACAATTTATTTAAGCAGCATGCATTATCTTTGTCTGAAATCACAACATCAACTACAGTCTCTAAAAAAGAATCACCAAAACGTAAAGCAGTATTAGTTGACTCCCATTCTCATGATTCTACTTCTAGTGCTGATGATTCAGACAATGGGTCCGATATATGTACAAGTAAAAAAGCATGTGTAATGGTGCCTGACAATCGACTGTTTGATACCAATAAATATGAAAAGACTTTCAAATGGCTTTACTACAGCGCATCCAAAGAAGGTTATTGCTGCAAGTACTGTGAATTCATGTATAGTAGTTCATTGGCTGATGAGACAACTGCTTATATTTCACGTGGAGTTAAGTTAGGCACTCATCCAGCAAGACGTCTAAAAACTCATGACCAGTCTGAGAAGCACTTAAAGGCTTCAGAAAGCTACCTTTCCAAATCAATTAAAGGTACACAGAAGATTTTTCCATTATTGGCAAAACAAGTTGAAAGTAAAAAGGCATTGAACAAAACATATTTGGAGACCTTGTTCCGTACTTCACATTTCATGCTTAGGAAAAGATGGGCACTCACTGACAACCTTGAGGATTTTATCAAGAACTTCTTGGCTTCTGATATAAAAAATGAAATGGTAAAACAGTATGTGAATGAAAATCCTAAGTTGACTTACACTTCTCCATCTTCTATCCAGGACATTGTCAAATCAATTGCATTTGCATTTGAAGATGAGATCCTTAAACAAATCCGTGATGCCAAATGCTATGCTCTAATGGCTGACGAATCAACCGATGAGTCTAATCGAGAACAATTTGCAGTAATAATCAAACTTCTAAAGGGAAAGCAAGTGGCAGATGTTTTTGTTGGGATCATTCAAGTGGTGTCTACTGATGCAGCAAGTTTGATGGAAGCCATTGAACGGTTTCTTCAAGGCAAGGGAATCGATATCAAAAAAGCCATTTTTGTAGGCTTTGATGGCTGTAATGTTATGAGTGGGGTCAACAAAGGTAAGAGGACATCATTAAACTATCAGATTTTTTATCATAACACTATTTTATTTTAATAAAAATATAAAGGCATTAATGTAAATACATTCATTATTACAGTAATGAAAGTAATTAAATAAATAAAGACATTGGTATTTATACTGTATTTTAGAATATTATTTTATAATTTATCCACAGGATTACAGCGCAGATTCAGACATGTGGTCCCATTTCAACTCTACATTAACTGCAGAAATCATAGACTTGCCTTGTGTGTAAGTCATCTTGTCAAGCAATACCCAGTTCTTTCAGACCTAGATGCCGTGCTGATTGCCATCTGGAAATTGTTCAAATTTTCGGCCCAAAGATTTGCTGTAAGTAGACTTAGTAGTGTCCTACCAACAATCAGGCTCACCCATTAATTAAATTTGAATGTTAAATCTACTGTTTGCTTGTGTAATAACCGAAAAAAATAAATTGTAAAATCAGATGCAATTATAATTTAAGGTGACTGGTCACTAAATGACATGTTTTGAATACAAGATGAAATTATAATAATAAATTGTCGGATATTTCAAACAAAAAAAAACTTTTTCAGGCAAAATATGTTATATATTGTACTTGAAATATGAAAAAAAAGGAAGTTAATGTCATTATGATGACATTGATTAAATTCTAAAAAATTCAAGCTGCCAATTGTATTCATGTGAAATCATTTAGATCTATTAACTAAATCAATACCTGCATGATCCATCAGTGAATTTTTACAAAAAATAAAATTTTCAGGTCTTTATGGAAGTCCAGGAGGCCTACAACATGACAAAGCTGACGTTTTTGAGAGCTGCAGCTACAAGGTGGTTATCCCATGGAAGGGCTTGCAGCCGCCTCCTTGATAGATATGAACCCATAATTGATGCGATAGATTCCATATTGACTTAATCAAGAAGCCCTGAAGTAGTCGGATTAAGGGAGATGCTACTTAACAAACATACAATAGCAGCAGCAGCAGCTTCCCTATGTGATATGCTGAAGCCCATTGTCATATTCAGTGACTACTTACAAGGTGATGTTCACTTTTCACGTGAAAATGAGAGTAAGTATTTCAACAAAAATATGCCTGTCTTTGTTAAGCACTACTGTCAAATCTTCACACAAATTTAATTATCATTCTGACTTGGCTATTGATGTACATATATACATATCACATAACTAAATGCCAACAAAGAAATGTACAGTTACAAATTACGATTGAATCAAGTTATGTTTGACAATTACTCCATTAAAACATTTTTTTTAATTGAATAGATATAAATGGATATGCATTCTCTTATAGACTTTACATTTTCAGTTACATTATCAACCTTAAGTTTATAACTTCAGAACCTCATAGATGAACTTGAAAATCTGAGTAATAGATTAACTCAAGTTGGTGATTGTGTGCATGATGAAGAACTTTATTTCTCCAAACTGCCAATGATATGGGATCTGATAGATGAGAGGAGAGAACTTGCAAGAAGGCTAAGGTAAAAAAGTTCATTATATAACATAATTTCTTTAGAGACTTAAGGTTTATAACTGTACCAAAAAATTAAAAACTTATAGTTATTATTTCAGACAGTCTTGTTAGACATGATTTTATTTATTACAATTGAAGTGACTGTCAGAATTAAAACTAAGTAATTTGTAATTTAATGAAACTAAACTGTTTATGAACAAGTTATATTTGTCTTTTCATCATAAGCATGATCTTTGGATTTTTCAGGGATGAAGGGCCAATCACTATTCAACAGTTCGCAGAAGAAGTTGCCAGGCCGATGGTGTACAGTTTGATACAGGAGCTCGAAGATGCATTTCATTGTAGTCCAGCTTTAGGTGCTTTCTCTGTGTTTGATATGAGACATGTACCTTCAAATCCCCTTGAATTGGGCGACTATGGACAGGTATAAATAAATAGATAACATGTTTTACTTAATTGTAAAGTTGTTGTTTTCCAAATAATATATATTTTAATATAATCAAGAATATTCAGTTTTCATACTAATAGTAATTTTTTCAACTTTTATTTATAGAGTTTAGAACCCATTTATTCAATCACAAAGCAATACAATTATTTCACATAATTTCATTTGATATAGACCTCTATTAGCCACATTGCTGATCACTATGGTGAGGCGAAACAGGACACTTTCATGGGACATCATGTTGTTGCTCAGCCAGAATTTCCAGCAGAGATCATCAGAAGAGAGTTCAGTGCTTTTAAGCATCAGATGTTTATAATGAAGTAAGTGGTCTGGTCAGTTTCATTTGAAGCAATATCAAAGTTTAAATAGTTATTTTGTGTTATTTATTGTTAGCCAGTTAATTTTCTACAGTGTTCTTTTATATACTTTTCACTCTGAATAAACATACAGAAGCAAAGGATTTTCACATTTTCTTGTTTGGTAAGTTTTTATTTTCTATTGAAATGTTGCATTTTTGTTTATTCTTTTTTTGTTATTTCAGAAGTTTATGTTGATCAGTTCTTATGTTAGAACTTTTTGCTAGTCATAGGAACTTAGGTGAAATGGCCACTGGCCCTTATCAAGGTGAGTGTTACTGAGTGTATTTGTATTCATATCATGCATAATAATTGTATGGCCATTGGTTTCCTGGCTCATAGATGATGAGCAGTGTAAATATCCTTTTTATGATTAGAGAACAAGTCTTTGCATATATAGTATGTTAATATAGATCTTAAGCTTCTAGTGATAATATTATAAAATTAATTATTATGTTTAAATACAATGATGAATCCAGAAATTTTTGCATTAACATTTTAGTTTTATAACATTTCTAGTATAATTTTTATATAATATGGGGGTATATTTTGTATGTTATCATTAATATTGATAGAATTTCAAGTTAAAAAAAAGCTATTCTGCAACTTTCTCTCTGACCAACTGTTTTAATCTATATCTTTTTAGGCAGAGGGCATCTGAAACAGATTTATCAGACCCACAGTTCACTAACAAAGTTTGCACTCTTACCCTATGCTACGACCGGATGTAAACAATACGTTCGCACAGGGCATGCGCGGTGGTTAAATCCCACCCATTTTACTCGATTAAATTTTAGAACAACCGCTACTTTCGGTTTCAATTTTGCTGACAAGCAACGTAAGTGTTAATTTTAAGATATTATTAATTTGTATGTAGAAATATGCACACCATTTGCAGGGGTAATATTTCGGGACCTAAGAACGTGTATATCTTCTATCAAGATTGATTTCCTTTTAGTCTTAATTATATGAAAGATACGTAGTTAAGCGATAAAGAAATTGTTACTTTCCGTATACGAGTATATCCTTCTGGGAAGTTGCATAACAGACTATATATGCGCAATAAACAGGATTATAAATTTGGAGATCATTTCAGCAGTAGTTGAAATTATATGTTTGTTTAATAGTCTAAGCCCAATTAATCTAGATGTAGTACAAAAATTCCCTGTAACTTTGGTGATTATACATGGAGTACTGGTTAAAACCACATAACTTGGGTCAACATACCCCGGAAAGTGCATGAAATATTTTTAACATGTGTTTGATCGCAAAAATAGCCATGTGTTCTAAAGAAAGACATAACAATATCGATAATTAAACGTTGCCTCCTATCTTTTTTCGAGGTTGATTCTATGTGGAACGAGTCTTAACAGCGATTAATAAAAGTTGTACGAATCATTTCGAAATTGAGAATAAATAAATTTGTATGAATTAAGGAACTTGTGTCACAATAAATAATCTAATAAATGTAAACTTTTTACAATTTTAGAGAAACATGGCATTTGCAGATTCCGATTGGAGGTTTGTTTGTTTGTTTGGATTATACGGCACGTCAACACATAACTGGCCATATCGTGCCGAATGCTATAATAGGCTTAGAATATTATGTAAAACATTGTAAATGACAATAAAAATGAGCCCATTAGATCCTAGAATACAAGTTTATCTCTTTTAAATAATCAATTATGTTTTTTGATGGAATTGTATTAAAAAGTTCTTTGAGTGAATTTACAGAATAATATCTATTACGGGCCTGTGAAAAATCATGACATTCAAGAAGAAAATGCTTGACAGTAAAATTTTCATTACAACCTACACAGAAAGGGGCATTTTCATTTGTGAGAAGATAAGAGTGGGTAATTTTAGTGTGTCCAATTCGGCATCGAAGAAGAACTGTTTGATCACGGCGGTTTGACAGAGATAGAGATGGTGACATATCAAGAGATGGGTTTATATCGTGAAGTTTATTAAAAACGGCACTGTCCCAATTTGCTTTCCATTCAGATGATACGAGTTTATTTATAGCCGGTCTAAAATCACAAGCAGGTAACAATAAGTCAGTTTTTTGAAAATTTAATGATTGTTTAACTAAAGCATCTACTTTTTCATTTCCTCGTATTCCTACATGGCTTGGAATCCAATATAATTTAACATATTTTGTTTTTAGTATATCATGAAATCGCAAAAGAAGTTTCTTTACCATGATATTGTCAGATTTTTTATTTTTAATGGATATTAAAACAGAAAGCGAGTCAGAAAATATCACAAATTTATCGTGGGTATGCTGTGCTATGTATGACAATGCTAAATCGATAGCTTTTGCTTCAGCAGTAAAAATTGATGCATTATCTGGTAACCTCATACTAGATGTAAAGTTATTTTCAAACACAGCCGCACCTACTTTGCAACCTTCTTTTGAACCGTCCGTATAAATATGTATAAAATCTTCATGTTCTTCCTTAATTGCTAGAAACTTCTCTTTGAAATATTCAGGTGAATTTGATGCCTTTTTTATATTTGAAAGGTTAATAATTATTTCCGGGGAATTAGATTCTCCCATTTAAATCAAAATCTTCTACAAAAGGTAAAGCAATTAGAAAGAGAATCGAACTAAATTTACAAAATAATGACTACTTTCCCCCTGAAGGACACTGTTGCATAAAACTAAAGTCTAATGACAGTGAATCCACTTTCCTATATTTTGGTGGTGCTCGTAAAGTTCAGGAAACCGAATGGAAATTTGGACACGATTTATTTCATATGACATTCAACCATGACCCTGATGATGCGTATATCAGCAGTATACAGCGATTCGATAACATAATGGGGGCCCATTTTCCAAGCTTACAGTCTGTTAGTGCATGGTATGACACACGCACCGTTTTTGTATGGGTGGATTAAATACAGACACATTTGAAACCAGCAATGAACTTATCAAGTTGGATTTTATTAGGAACAAATATCAGTGTACAATTTGTCAACCTGCCGGAAAAACTTCATTAAGTAAATTAGTACAGAATGGAGATATACCAGTTGGCAGAACTGGACATACCGTTACACAGTTGAGTGAAAATGTTATAGTGATGCATGGCGGATTATCTCTTCCCAACCGACATAAACCTGGTCTTGCCAGTCCGTTTTCTCAAGTTTGCAACGACGGTTCATTCTATGAGTTTGATTCAAGAACACTCCGCTGGACAAAAATCAGAGATATTCCGGATGTAATGCCTAGAGCCTACCATACTGCCAACATTGCTACAATTTCAGGGACACGATGTGTGATCATAACAGGAGGTGTGTCATTCAAAGGGGTAGAGTCTTCACCGTCGGAAAGACTAAGACTTCCATTAAGTGAACTTGTCATATTGAAACTTCATGGTGTAGCTGAGCGTAGATACAGTCTAGATAAGATATCTGCTTCAATTCCAGAAGACATATTTATTTCGTATCAAAGTGTCGTTTCATTTAATAACATACTCTATATCACAGGTGGGTTTGTTCAAAAGGAAGCAGAGATTACGGATCCCCCAACAGCCAGCAACAAATTATATGCTATTGACTTACAGTCGTTGAGTATTGAGAGTACAGAGTTAGATATTATGTACTGTACTGCTGGGAATTCAAGTTTTACTTTGTCAGATGACTGCATTATGGTTGTTGGAGGAGTTCTGGAGACAATATTTGCATATACAACCAAACCATTGAGACCTAGCCCATGTGACTTAAATGATGAATGTTGTATATCTGACTCTCCAGAAATTTCACCTATAGCATGGGTTCAGTGTGAAAGCAAATGTAAACGATGGTTACACCAGTTTTGTGTTGGTCTCCTGGAAAAAGGTGTCCCTAAAGGGAAATATGTATGCTCTACTTGCAAAAGTCAAGGTAGAAAAAGGAAAACATTGAAATAGGACAACAAAGAAATGAAATGAACCATAACAATTTATTTAATATATACAGTGATTATACGGTAGCACATGCATATAAGTAATTACTGGTATATAGAAGTAGCATGCATGATGCAATATTATTTTTTTTGCACATGTTACAGCATTATGTGCACATAAATTGAGTGCGCACACAACATTTACTTCTTTTTTAATACTTGTATACTATCTGCACCACCGTTATGCTATTGTTAGGTTGAAAACATTTACTTTGATAAACGAAGCTGAACTACTTAGTATGGTATATTTATGATAAACCAGTAAATGAATGAACCAAATATTTTGCTTATTTTTAACATCTGAATTTATCAGCAATTTCGCAGAAAAGGCGACACAAAAAGTAGTTTTTACAATTTGTTTCAGCTTATTTCAACAGAATAACAGATATCAACCTAGACCACGCGTATCATCTCGTAAGAAATTAGCCAACTGAACAAGGGTACATACATGTTTTATAGTGATTACACAAAATATTTAGCGAATACATATTACTGAAACAAGACATGCATTATATGATATTGATGATATAGTGGAATAATTATAAGAAAAACGAGATAAAGAAAAACGTCTGCTTATTCCTCCTGGGATATAAGCATATTAGCTAGCTTTCATGCAAGCCACACCAAACCACCACAAGTGTTAATATTAAGGTTACTATGGCTACATAGTTAAATAAAATGAGTACTAGACATGTTTTACTTACTTTTTCAATATCCCCTATATTTAAACTAAGTACACAGTTTCCAGTTATTGGTAATGTCATTTTTAATGAAAATATGCTTAAAATTTTACACATTACTTTCGATACCTCTTTTAATATTTTTGACAACTAATAGCAGTTCACAAATAGCCACTCAAATTTGAACAGTAACATCAGGAAAGACTGTGTTCATCGCGCAAGTACGTCTGTTATGACCAACCTCCAAACACAAACTACATCTAGACTGTTTCAATGTTACTAAAGCAAGACTTGTAAGTTCTGGACTACTGTAAAGCCAGTGACACCACAACACGTCCCTTAGACCACCTTGAGTGTTTCCCTTTCTTGCCATGTTTTTCCGCATATGTCTGAAAATCTTGTTCCCACACTCATTCCCTTCGCTGCTTATACCACCTACTGTACCTGGACCATCTGTGCTTTCAATTATTTCTTGAACATGTTCGATTACTTTGTGTAGGTAATTAGGCCAAGAAGCATATTCAAAATGTGCCAGAAGTAGTCTGCCCATTTCTATAGCTGTAACTTTGTATGAGGATACATCCCCAGGACATTCCTTCTTTGGGTCTTTAGCCCGGTACACTTTCCTCATGAGTCTAAATTTCTGCAGCACGCTTGACAAATGTTTCCTTCTTTCTCCATCTGTGATATAAGCAAGTATTTTTGATTCATTTTTTTCATCAAACAATACCCTGGCATAATTACCTGGCATCATTAACTCTGGGTTTATGCCAATAGTATTTTTTTAAATGCATATCAAATTTAACCTCACTGTCTTTAATTATTGGCTTTACGTCCGCAGTAGCTTCCCACTGGGTGATGCATGCAACTTCCCTTACCAAAACCTTTTTGAAAAAGACCCTAGGTTTATGTCAGCATGAGTTGCATCTAAACACTTTTCAATCGCTTCAGCTTTTAAAAGAGGGGCCCTTTTTTACTCCTTGGAAATCTTGTCAATTGCCGCGTGCGAAAGGTTATCAGGATTTACCCTCATATATTCCGCGATTTCTTTAGTTTCATCGTACGTTCTTGTAATTTTGAAAGTGCCAAGGTCCTTAACCGCGCTTAATGTGGTGGCTTCACAAAGTGTGCAAAGGTATCTTGAACAACTTTCTGCTAAACCGCTCTCTTTCCTGTCCAACTTTTCGTCAATCATACTATTGAAAAATTTTAGACAATGTCTTCGCCATCCATTAGTATGTTGTACTCTCATTATTTTATCTTTCATGAAGGACCTTTCATTTTCAATCGGCAAAAGACACGCCAAGCTTGAAGCTCTATTGCTTTCGTCGCATATTGCTTCTAACAGAGGCCGATTAGTTCTAAACAGAATTTGGCTTTTCCTCTAGGAAAATTTCAACTGGTTCATTGTCGCCAACCGCAGCCTCAATTTTAAAAATACAGAAAGAAAATCTAAATGCTTTGTCAGGCAAGAACCGGTCGGATAATTCCTTATGAATTGACACGTCACCGAGACCATCACCACCATCTTTAATGTTTGTTATCAATAAAATTTTAGGATCGTTTGGGTCAATATTATTTTTCTTCAGACCAGATACAATTTTCGGTTCAAGCTCTTTCAAAGTACCAGCTATCGCATCAGGGTAGCACCATCGAACACCTTTTATGTTAGGCGATGCAAATTCTGGCAGTAATCGATCAAAGTCTTGCAAAACATCAAGTGGCTCAAATGAAGTATATTTACATGCGTAGTCTGTTTTATATACTGCCTTTGCTGGTGTGTGATAGTAGTTGTCCGTGAAATCGAACCCTTCGATGCTATAACGCGTTGAACTTGGTGTGTATAACAGTTCTACATCGTCGATAACACTTGGAGGTTGTAAAGGATTGCGAACATTTTTCTTCAAGAAATTGTATTGGGCTTTATATTGAGTTTTACTTTGAAGCGTATCGACTCTCAAAGCAAGGCACTGGCTTGGGGTCAGTTTCGAATCAGTTGATTTACATATATCATTTATGTCATTAAATCGGACGTCATTACTGTCTTTCAAATGCTGTTGTAACATGAAAAACAGTGCGTCGCCTTTATCCTCTTTATTTGTTTGACAAAATGTTGTTACCAAATCATTTAAACCTTTAAGGCGTCTCTGTTTTAAATACTTATTAGAACAGTCATTGACTTCAAACCACTTGCCCTTCACCGCTGTGGGTTCGAATCCCGACAGGGACTTTGGATTCTTTCATGTGAGGAAGCTATCCAGCTAGCTTACGGAACGTCGGTGGTTCTACTCAGGTGCCCGTTCGTGCCTGAAATAATGCACGGAAGGGCACCTGAGGTCTTCCTCCACCAGTTAAAACCCAAAACAAACAAACAAAAAAAAGAACAGTCATAAATGGGTATTTTCGGAACAGCAGTCGCACTTTTAGAAGAGCTGGGGAAAAGAGCTGGGTATTTACCAAAACCTACACACTTCTTCGTGGTTTTTGAAATGTGTTTATGTTTGAAATACAGGAACAGCCGGTATATTTACATGTCACTGTCATGGTTTCATATAGTAATAGCAGTTGACCTGTCAAAGGTACAACATCCTCCGCTGTTATGTAACACCCTACATACTGGACAGACATTAGCAGTTGTCAAACCATTGCAAGAATGCACGAACCTGCAAAAAATATCTTGGGAGCAACGTGATAAAAGTTTGCTTTTAGATTTACTTTTACAGAAAGTACATTTTTTCACTGTGCATACAAAAAATTATACACTGTTGGAAAGGTGGAAGAAAAATTCTCTCTTTTTTTGCACCATTTGCCTAAATTTGTAAAATCTAATTCTACAGCTCGAACAGAGTGACTTTGGATGAATCTCATCTTTATCTTCACGTACATTCATTGTGTAGAACTTTGTGTATCACTTTGCAAATTTAGTATAAATGTTAGTTCTTCCACCTTTTCTTTCAATTTTAAGTTTTCTTCTCTACCAAATCTGCATTGCATTTTTTCTCCAATTTTTTTTATTTCGGTTTTAAGATTTACATTTTCTGTTTTAAGTTTCTCATTTTCGCGGCGAAGATCTTCATTGCAAATTTCTAACTGTTTACACTTTTCAACTAGTTCGTTATCTTGAACGACTGTGTTAGTTGACGAGTGAACTGGAGATTCTATGTAATTAAAATCTCCCTTATTGGGATCTATATAGTTTTGCCACATAGGATCAGAGGGTTCAGGCAAAGGCTCTTCTAAACTTGATTCAAAAAAGTCTTGGGAAGAATGAAGAGGCTCAGACTCTGGTGGGCTACTGGCAAATAAATCTTGAGATGAACGAAGACACTCTTGCTCGGGGGAGTCTTGTTAAACAGCCAGCTATGAAAAATAAATTTTTGGATAACCTCTAGAACTAGCAAAGCACTAAATAGTTCAAATGACCTGATCAGTTTAAGTCTAGAAAACATTACATGTGTCTCTACACATTTCGGCTTAGAAAATAAAACAAAGCAACTTACAACAAATATCGGCTTGTTATATAATAGCCATTAATCTTTTCTTCAATTGCCCAGATAGACTTAGCCTTTCAAATCATTTGAACTATGACACTAGACATTCATAATGCAAGATTACATTAGAGAAGCATAGATAATATGAATCCTTTCACCTGCAGCACAATTTTTATAAGTTGAGACACTATGATTACAAAGGAGCACACTGTGTTAAGTGTATTAAAATGGAAGCAAGAATATATTATATACAGCGTGCCAATTATGGGGCCTTGTTTTTACTACCAAATGCACCTTTGTTATATCACCAATGTAAATACGGGATATCACCAATTCAAAATGGGTGAAATAATACATATGTCTCTATAAATGATATTTTCGAGTAGATGACTTCAACATTTGTAAAAGCTAAGCTCATGTAATCGTACTGGGTATATTATCTATACAGATATGTGGTTCCATTTGAATAAATGATCACGCTAATTCTTATGTGTGATATCATCAATATGATTAGGTATTATAAGCCATTCAAAGGGATACAATTTATCACCTGTTCGAATGGGATATATCTAGATTCGTATTGGTGATGTCACATTTAGAAATAAGTTATAACATCAGTTCGAATAAGTGATATCTGAACAGTGCATTTAATAGTAAAATGATGTACCGGAGTCCGTCACCTTGTATTAAAAGTTAATGTTAATTTACTAGTTACACAAAAGCAAGTATAGTAAATGTGATTATAGTAACACTCTCAGTGCCTTTGGACTTGGTCGTCTTTACAAACATCATAGATTTTAATCATTCGAAGGTTTTTTCACCGTGAGATCAAAAAATATACTGTTTGGCATTCTTATCAAAATTTCTGAGTTCGTCCCTCCCCAAACCCGAAAGTGAATCAGCTACAACATCTTTAATAAGTGGATTAATTTACTACCGAGGCACTGAAAGTAGTAGTTAGGCGATTATATAATACAGTACTACAATTCCGAATACAAGTGTGTACAAGCAGCAAGATATAAGCTGTACAGTTGAGGTTTCCTGACTGGGCTTTATTAACAAAAGTGTAGCAAATAAAAGGTAAAGCACTCCCTTTAACCAATTTAAAAACCCAGCAAGCAAATTCTTGGAAATGAAAGGACCCTGGAGTGTGTGTCTGTCTGTCTGAGAGAAAATAAACTTAAAATTCAACATCCCAATGGGGCCTCATCTTCAAATTATTTGTTTTCCTTCAATGTATATTTATAAAGAACTTAGTTGTGTACATTGAGTTGAGACAATAACAATTCTGAACTTTCTTTAAAATATAATAATGTAAGAAAATAACTATGTCCCGTGAAGTACCTCATTTTTGTAAAATTCCAGTTTCTAAATTTTTAGTTGTTAGAGAATTTACAAAGTTGATTATTTGTGCCAACATAATCAAATTCTTATAAACCTTCTAAGAGATCGAATAGCATTTTTTTACATTTCAACACCCCATTAGAGCCTCATCTTTGAGGGTTATTTTTTTTTATTTTTTTTTTTTTTTTGGGGGGGGGGGGGTGCGTAAGGGGCATCTTGTCATACAGAACTTACTTGTAAAGTTGATTTTAAAATCAGTACTATAAGACACTCCAGGACCAGCTTGCAGTATTAAATTGCCTCATTGATTTGAGTAAATCATAATTATTCACTGCATTTTCAAGTACATCGCTTAATATCCGTTACAATGAAAGTAAAAAAATAAAACTTTCTAGAACGATACCATTCTGAAACTTAAAAACTATTTCTGACATAAAATTATGAAAAAAATTAGACTTTTACCCCTTCCTGCTTCTTTCTCTTGAAAACAGGGGAATCACTCATATTTGTTTTTCACTCATATTTGTTTTCTTCTGAAATAATAAAATAACATATGTCACAAGCTCTACTGTGCTAAATTGAAATGTCCAAAACTTTGCACTACACGGTGTAATTTTCATTACATATCCGGTATTATCACCGTCATGGTAGTTTTTATTCCAGTCGGTCAAAATGACGGTACACATTTACATGTAAACAAACAGATTTAACTTCTCAGACAATTTAAATAAGGAATGGACACACGGTAAACTCGGTTGCAACGTAAAGTATATTCATAAACCTGTTTGAGAATAATTGTATCCGTGTTCAAATAAATTCAAAAACGGGGAAAAAAAGGAGTCTTTTTACCGATACCCCTGCAACAGAACCTTATTGTTCTGACGAATTAAATTGACTTTATAACGCTCGTATACAATTATTTATTGATCGATTTTCATTATATTTATTTTGTAATACCTATCATTCAATATGCAATCAAACAAAACCAAGTTTTCCTACATTCAAGGAAACTGTAAGTTAGGACGAGCTTTCAAAACGAACAGGTATCGATTTCCAACACGCTTACCGAAATTCTAACATGGCGGCTCAACCTGGCTCATTTGCATAATTTATTCATAAACGCAGGAGCATAGAACTTTGTTAGTGCAGTTTCTGCTGAAGAAGTTGACTGATGAGCCTATATTACAGCAAACCTTCCCTGTAATGTCTTACTTTGTGCTACTGTCCAGTTTGATTCCAACATCAACAGCCTGTGTTGAGAGGGTGTTTTCTTTGATGAACAGTATTTGCACTCCTCTCAGATCATCAATGAGCCAGGAAACACTTGATAACATTATGAGAATTGTTCATGAAGGAGCAACTTCACTGAGTGACAATCAACTTGAGAGGGCCATTAATCATTTCACTTCCAAGTCTAGAAAAATTTATGTCTGAGTCAGTTGTCCTGAGTGTAATAAGAAATTCAAAACAATGAAGAATAAAGATACTTTAAGAACAACTTCATGTTATATCTTTTATTTGGTTAGGTCTATAGTAAAAGATATACTAGCTATTGAAAGTAGGCCTAATGGTAGGAAATAGTGCTTAAAAGTAAGTGTAATACCCTAGATCTAAATAACTTATATACGACTCAAAATTCCCCTTTTTGTGTTAAAATGATGCAAAATTCCCCTTTCTGAGGGTATGGGTACCTGTCCCCAAAAGTTGTCTAGTGTCCTGACTACATATATTATACATTATTGTGTGTGTATTAGACAGTCATATACTGGTATGCATTGATTGTTATGCCTTTTCCACGAGTATTCTGTACACCGAATTAATAAGAAATTCTTTTCATACCCTACGTTGATCTTTTTGAAGAGTATCAACAGGTGCATTTTCGTAGTTGTTGCATTATTAAAAGGACAGACACAAGATATAGGGTTTCGATACAACGGTAATCAGGTTTTCTGTTTGTCTAAGGATAAACTATTGTCCCTCCGTTTACTGTATTTATGTCAGTCTTTCGTTTACCGGCTGTCTCTTTGTTTGCCTACATGGTTGTATATCTTTTCTCTCCCTGCATTTCATTGCAAACATGATATTGCATTTTGAGTTTTTTTATTCAGAAACAATCTTAGCTTTATGACAAAATTTGTCAATTTGTGTTTTATTGTCCGATTGTCTGTTGTAAAAGGACGACTAATTGTTATCAACTCCCATGTAAACTTATCGAAATCATGCTCTTTAACGAGCAGATACCGGTAATTACATGTACTACTTTTCGGATAAATGATGCAAATCAGTATTCCAGAAGTAATATCATTATTATTATTATCATCACCTTCATTATTATAATCTGAGAAAATCCTCGAAAAGAAGTTTAACATACGACGCGTCGATTTTAGATCCGTATATTAAGAAAAAGCGACGTATTTTAAACTTCTGTTGCAAGAGTTGCTCCCCTTTTCTTCTAGGAAAGAAAATATCTCACAACAATAAATCTTACCGGAAAAAGAAATTAAACTGTCTACAGCGAAATGTTGCAAAAAATTGATATCCTGTTTAAAGTATGAGGCCAGGTTTGATTGGCTCTATTACAGTATATGTAAAGGAGGTTATTGCTGCAAGATATGCGAGTTTTTTTGCCCCCTACCTACTTCATAACAATTCCATAAATCCTGTGGGCCTGTTTTTGTTTATATTGTTTCGCATTGCGTGAACCGCTCATTTCGCCCTCGTGTCCACTTGGGTGTGTCCTGGGGCGGCGTCCTGTGAACGTTGCCTTTGCCAAGTTGATCTTTATTCTTGTTTTTTTTTTCTCTCTCTCTTTTTTTTTAATTGAGCCTGTGCATGGACGGTACTGTCAAGTGCAAATTACCGTCCACGCCCCCTATCACCGGCTTATGAATTCAACATTTAAACAGGACATGATATGACATACCGCCGTATGAACACATCTGCGGATGTTTCTAAATTCAAAATTTTGCTATTTCATGTTTCAATGTTGAATTCTGCTTAAGCCGGTGCTAGGGGGCGTGGACGGTAACTTGCACTTTCCAGTACCGTTCATGAACAGGCTCAATCAAACCGAGCCTGCAACATTTTCAATTTTGCCGTGTTGGGCTTCTTTAGGGATTCTGTATTCATCAATTCAATTAGTTTGCAGTGACAGTTAATTTATACAAGGACCCTGCTCAAGGTCGAAATTCTGGAAACAAAGTTATCCCTCGGAAGCATTTATCACAACAAAATAACATAAGAATTGCAGACTCGGTTTGATTGAGTCTGTACATGAGGGATAATGAATACGTGCAACATCCCTCACGGCCCCTAGCACCGGCTAGCGGCTTGAGCGGTACTCAATTCTCAACACTTTAAAGTGTTGGCTACAATGATCCCGAAGGACCAGACAATAAAGTGTTGGCATCAATGATCCCGAAGGACCAGAAAATATAACAACACTGAAGTGAAGTTCGGGGCAACTTTTTACGGCTGCCACATGGCACTTGACGCCTGCAGTTGTGAAATATAATATGATAAACAAGATCGACAAGGAAAGGCGGCATTCAATGAACGCAGCCCCCATCCGACCCAGCAACAAGCGCCAGTTCAAAATTCTGGAAAGAAAGTGATCCATCGGAAGCATTAATCACAACAAAATAACAAGAGAATTGCAGACTCGGTTTGATTGAGTATGTACATGAGGGTTAATGAATACGTGCAACATCCCTCACGCCCCCTAGCACCGGGTTGAGCGGTACTCAATTCTCAACACTTTAAAGTTGAAGCTGGGGTAAAGCCGGGGGAGGCGTCCTGTGAACGTTGCCTTTGCCTTGTTGATCTTTATTCTTGTTATTTTTTGGAATCAATGATCCCGAAGGACTAAACATAGCAATTGTCACTGCAAAATGATTTATTCCGAGGGATCATTTTGTTTCCAGAATTTTGTACTTTAGTGGGGGTTGCGTTCATTGAACGCCGCCTTTCCTTGTTGATCTTGCTTATCATATTTCACAACAACAAGTGTCAAGTGCCGTGTGGCAGCCGTTAAAAGTTGCCCGGTACTTCACTTCAGTGTTGTTATATTTTTCTGGTCCTTCGGGATCATTGATGCCAGCACTATTAAGTGTTGAGAATTAAGTACCGCTCAAGCCGGTGCTAGGGGACGTGAGGGAGTTGCACATATTCATTATCCCCTCATGTACAGACTCAATCAAACCGAGTCTGCAATTCTCTTGAAATCTTGTTGTGATAAATGCTTCCGAGGGATCACTTTGTTTCCAGATTTTTTTTTTTCAAAAAATGTTGAATCCAAAATATGATAAACAAGATCAACAAGGAAAGGTAGTGTTCAATGAATGCAACCCCCATATGACCCAGCAACAAGAACCAATGGTAAGGAGCCCAGGCGGACCCCAAACAAAAACAGGACAGGGCAAAGACAGAGCACGGACAGGTTAATCATTAAATGATAAATAATTCGTAACTGATTAAGAAAATAATAATAGGCCCACAAAGGGGAACACAACATTATTGAAAATGTTGCAGGCTCGGTTTGATTGACGGTACTGTAGGGTACTACCGTTTGCACTCCTTTCAACAAAATTCTGGAAACAAAGTGATCCCTCGGAAGCATCAATCACAACAAAATAACACAAGAATTGCAGACACGGTTTTTGCAGACACGGTTGCAGCAAAAAATTGCCCTGTCCTTTTTATATTTGGGGTCCGCCTGGGCTCCTTGCCATTGGTTCTTGTTGCTGGGTCATATGGGGGTTGCGTTCATTGAACGCCGCCTTTCCTTGTTGATCTTGTTTTTCATATTTGATTGAGTCTGTACATGAGGAATAATGAATAAGTGCAAAATTCTGGAAACAAAGTGATCCCTCGGAAGCATTAATCACAACAAAATAACATAAGAATTGCAGCCTCGGTTTGATTGAGTCTGTACATGAGGGATAATGTATAAATGCAACATCGCTAACGCCCCCTAGCACCGGCTTGAGCGGTAATCAATTCTTAATCCAGTAATTTACAGTAACTATAGATAAATTAATTTGAAAAATAAATCTACGAGAAATAATCAATCTTAAAGATGTACCATTGTGTTTCATAAATTGCTAGTTGTATGATCCACTTTGTTTTCGCTCCAGCATTGTAATTTTAAAAAAATATGATAAACAAGATCATCAAGGAAAGGCGGCGTTCAATGAACGCAGCCCCCACCCGACCCAGGAACAAGAGAATTTTCTCTTCAAATGTAGTTGCCTTTTAAGTGGTACTTAACAAGTTGAAGATAATTTCATCTTCATTTTGCTGGTTTCAACCGTTATCAAATGACAATTTTAATTATCCACCTTGGTACACTTCTTAGCTTAATAAATTAACTATTTTTTATAAGAACTCGTAATCTAACACAGGACTGGAGAGTAAGTCTAGATTGTGCTTTTTCTTTACTCTATTGTAAATGTACCTCATTTCGGTAATCGCATACAGCCTGAACATTGAGAGCATGAAACCCTTTCCTGCAATCTTATGCTGCCACATCTTGTGATGGACCCTGAATAGGGATGAGGGTTCCATCGTCTGCTCCCACAAATAGAAGCTGATGTGATATTTCTGTGTGAGGATTGTATACACAGGATCGCCACTTCTGCCGAAGAAATAATATTTTCGTGATTGTGATTAAACTTAATACAATATACATACAAGCATATCCAAAAGCATAATTATTATATTTTATATGCTGCATGGTTTAAAAACGTATATGTATGTATTAAACCAATGTTCAATGATTACAGAACAATGATCAATTTCGTTTGAGATTCTTTTTTTTTTCATTAAATTTTCTCTTCAAATGTAGTTGCCTTTTAAGTGGTACTTAATTATCGGCGTTACATCAGAAGTGTATATACTGATATAAGAAGTGCTATATGGGACACCATGATATTGAAACACAGTCGGGGTCTGCTTCCCAAACACGTATCAATATTCAGGACGTGAGTTCTATTCGAACGCCCGTGGAGTATTAAAAATTGAACCTACAAGGGAAAAAACAGAACACAAAAACCTGAAATAAAAGTACACAAATAATTTATTTAGATTTCATATCAAATACAGTTAAATTCGTATATATTCTGGAAAATCCTCGCCAATGGGCCACGTCTGGAAGGGTTTGTGATAATCCTCGTCTATAGGCTGTGAACTAAACCAAAGAATAGCTATATCAAGGTAGAGTAGCTAAGTATGACATCCAAGTTATATGTGGATCTATATGGTTTATAATGAACTGTCTATATTTATATTGGTTCATATAAATACATCTACTTTAAAAAGGGTGATTATACTAGTAGTTCCATGATAGCTGGAACTTCAGGATGGAATCTATGATAAACTACAATAGAAGCTGGTATTTATAGGTATTTCTCTATCAATACAATTGGAGTAAAATAAACTGTCAGGAAAATATAATATTTTCTGATGCTAATAATTCAGGCACAATAAAACTGTCATAAATAATTATATTACCATGGAATAAGGAGTTGCTGGTATTTTCTAGGTTGTAATGGGCTTGATTACTCTTCAAAGTTATATCCATGCACTGACAGCCAGATTGCATGTGCCAGAGTTTTTATAGTATCAGGGGTCAGGCATGTACGTCATAGCCGATGACGTCAGTGCCAGAATTTAGCCCAAGCCAGCTCTGTTTTAGACTGGTCCCCTGCGCAC